ATGGTAGTCGAAGATCAGCTCTATTTTTCTTTCCCACTGTAGGTAGACTTCTGCATCATTCATACCTTTGAAGGGTGGTATTATCATTTTAATGGAGCTAATATTATTTTCTATTCTATCTTTTTTTCTTCTAACATGGTCTTTCTCTTCATCATTACAAGACTCGTCCTTATTTTCAGGATGTTAAGTTTTAGGTCGCCTTGTATTAGGGGTCCCGTATCTTGTTTCACTTTGACTACTACTCAAGTTATCTACTTTCTAACTAAGTCATGTCAATTTTGCATGCAGAGCCTCTATAAAAGTATTATGTTGACGGGGCTTTGATGCTCACTTGACATTTTAAGAAGTGTTAGTAAAAAATATATATTTCATCACCAGTTCTCTCGTATTTCACTCACTTGGCTTTTTATCCTCTTATAATCTCACACTCTTGCCTTTTTACCTTTCTATCTCTCACCCTTAAGTTAAGTGTTGGATATATCCTCTTAAATTAAAGTATTTTAAAGTATTGTTTTAAGACACTACAAGGAGTCCTATAGAATAAATACCACATCAATATTATAAGTAAGAGTGTAACACATAAAAGAATATGTAGTGTGTTATCAACTACGCTAAGCTCTAAGATGCAATTTAGATGCTTAGATGTATCAGGAAACTAAAGTTTAAAACAAAAAAGGAAACTGATAATAGAGAAAATATGACGATTTATAAAAGATGTAAGGATTCAGTATTGCTCCAATAGAAAATTCGAAAGATATTCCTATCAATCTATTCCCGATGTACGTTACGTTTTATATAAAAAAAATGAAGTCTTTAATGAATTGTTTAAGTGTGAATGCACATGATTGTAAAAAGAAAAAATTGTAAAATAAAATGAGTTTTTACCTTATGAAGAGCTGGTTCTTGCACCGTTTCAAAGAAGGATGGTTGAGCACCAAAAAGGTAAGTACTTCCCAAATGAGTATGTTATTTGATAAAGACTTCTTTCCTTTGTTTCCTTTCTTTTATTTTATTTTCTTTTCTCTTTTTTTTTCGCAGGAAACAAAATTACAAGAAATGTAGATTAAAAAAATTAGTACTCAACAACGATTTTATCAAGCCAAAAAAGCGTCAATTGACGTTATATCTTACTCGGATTGATGTGTGAGATAATTCTGTTTTTTTAATAAATGAACAAAAAAATAAATAATGCAAGAATTTAAAAGTACAAAAGTAAAAGATAGTCGATTTAGATGGGACCAAAACTCTAATGTCAAATGATGCAGAACTCAAGATCAACCAAAGTAATCAGGAACTCACACAATTTCATTTAAAGACATCAAAAAAATTGATCATATAGAAACTCTCTCTACTTAACCGGCTATCAAGAATTATAGGAACTACATTCATTGAAAATGAAAGAAATAGAATGAAAAACGTTATAAGATCGTACCTTGATAGATAAATCCACTCCTTACTCAACAAGATGGTACAAGAACTTCTCTTGAAAAGAAACACTCTTAATATTATTTAAATAATTTCTAAATTTTTATAATGAAGACTTGATGACCTAGTTATAAGGTAAGTCATGTAAATAAAAAATATTAAAAAAATCTATTGATTTAAAATTATAATTACATAAAAAATTAATAAAATTAATCTCGGAAATCCTTAACTAACTGTAATTATATA